AGAAGTCTGTATTCGAGGTGCCTGTGTCCCTACAGCAGAGGATATCAGAATATGGGTGGAAGGAGCCCAAGAGAAGCAGCAATAGGGCATAATTAACAGGTACATATAAAACTGGAAGTCAGTAGTGTAAGATCCACTAGAACAAATCTGTAGATGGGCCACAACCAGCTCAACATTTCTGTCCTACCCCTACACTGAGATGGGGCAACAGTCCCCTGTTGTAACTCTGTTACACATGTTTGTAATAAGCTTTGTAATGTCACTGTTTTCTCTCTGGCCACCAAAGATGCTTAAAGACACTTTGCATTTTTCGTGCTTTCCTCTCCATTCCCAGATTTAGCAAACTGGCTTGTAACAGTGGCAGCATACAGCAAGGACTGGTAGCTCCTATTCTTGAAACCCATTTTGGGAAAGGAGCTTGACATGAACATTTAAATGGGAGTCTCCCATAAAAGCAAGAGGATCTAAGTGCCAATCTCGTATTCTTTTCCCCCTGCTAACAAAGGAGACATGTCCCAGCAACTCCAATCAGCAGTGCCATTTTTAAGGTGTCCACTAATATTAGCTATGGGTGCCATGTTAGCAAGTCATTGCATCAAGGGTGTATTTTACACTGCTCTAGCCAGAGGGCATGGTTAAACTGTTCTCTCCACAGGAACCTTATTCATCAGCAGGTATACATAATTTATTAGATTAAGGGGAATACATCTATAATCATACAGTTCTTCTCCAGATTTGATTTACCCAGGAGCGCAGTTGAGTTACAATGAGCTAAGTAAGAAAGGTGGCATGTGTTACTAAATTATACACAGTTGCAAGGAAAGTAGGCTCTCAGCCTTTGATAGGAATGGACCTAAAAAAAAAAATCTAAACTTGTTTCTACCCATATTGTCCTTCACCTATCAAGATGCAAGTATACAAGAGCAAAAACGGAAATCCTTTTGTCCCTTGTGCAAACTTGGCAATTTCCTTTCCAATTCATGGCTCAGAAGCTCATGAAAACTAATTGGAAAATATGCCAGACCATGCATTTGGAGCAGATGCTCAGTATACTTTGCAATCTGCCAGATTTCTTCCCTGGCTGTCTGCCCAGGGGAACCAAGTTATGCACACTACCATGTGCCCCATAATCTTTGTGCAAAATCAGCCAGCTCAAGGAGCCAGTTTAGGAAGAAGCAAATTGTCCAGCTTCTGAGAACTCTGAAGACAAGGAGTGTGACTGCAGCAGTTTTGGAGGAATAAAAGAGCTCTCTTTATATTTGGCCAACTTATTTAAATTATAGAGAAAACCATATTCCTATTCTGGCAAAAGAGAAAACTTCCGGAGACTCCCCTGTTTAGAATCCACAGAAGCAATACTTTTACCATAAAGAATTCTTCATCGGATAAATTGGTCAGAAAAAAAAAGGTGAGGGGGGAACATGGCTGTTCTTGGAACCATGTTCTTAAGTGTGTGCAGGGAGGAGGCAGGCAAGCGATGTCACATCCATCATGTCATCAACCATTACAAATTATATAAATTTGCACCAGTTGTATCAGGATGCAAATATACACTGAATCATCTGGATCTTTTCGATGATCATATTATGACACTTGTTATATCAGTATAGCTTTGACTTGGTACCTGTAACTTTGTCAGTAATGTTTAGTGTAGGATGGAGTGGGTAGGAACCTCCAACACGCTACTAACTGGATTTTCACTGGCACAGAATAGCATTAAATTGCAACAGAGGCTCTTTCAAAATTGCTGGGAAAAAGCAAGCAAACATTTTAAAGAAGGTGTAGTCGTTCAAGAGTTGGAGAGGATGAAGGAGACCCGTATTCACATCCACCCTCCTTTATGAAAGCTTACTGGATGTTCTGAGGCAAGCTGCTGTATCTTAGTTTTGATTCTCTGGAAGACAGAAAGCTTTGAACATTGTCTTGAGTTTCCAGAGGAAAGGCAGTGTATAGATGCAGTAACAAGTTAAGTTCTCCAGTTTTGGGTATTGGCAGCTGAGGAATGACTGGAAACACCAAAACTAATGCCAACTCTTTGCTTCCCTTGGCTGTATTTAATTTTTTTCTTGAAAAAAATATTTTGATAGGTTATATAAATATCAGTAAAGCATACTCAAATAATTAGCAATATATTGTTATACCTTTGGGAACGTTATAAAGTTCGTCTATGAGATACCCGAATCCTGTACTTGTTTAAAAATAATAAAAAGCAGGAGAAAGTCTGGTTTTGTTTTGATGTTTTTTATTCAAAAGTTTTCAAAAGAAATAAAACAGAAAAAAGCTAACAATCTAATCAAATTTACAGTTCAAAAATGTCTTTTGGCATTTAACAACAAGTCCTAGGAAACAAAATGACAGAGTTATCTTGAACCGGACAAATAAGTTACCACTGGCAAGTTTGTGGCACTAGTAAAACAAAAATAAAAAATTAACTCTCTTGATCATATAGATATCTCTATGAAAATCTTTTTTTTTCAATCTGTACAAAAGGTCTTTCTTCATAAATTATTTTTTTATAATTTAATGGCTGTCTACTATGTGATGTTTAAGTAACTGATTATTTTTTTTTATGTACAGAGGATACATTTTGCAAATCTTACGCAGATTATGAGTATGGCACTTAGTTCAGACTTTCCAACAGCATCTATTCCCTCCCTCTAATCCAGTGTTTCTCAACCTTGGCAACTTTAAGATGTGTGGACTTCAACTCCCGGAATTCCCCAGCCAGCCACAGCTGGGGAATTCTGGGAGCTGAAGTCCACACATCTTAAAATTGCCAGGGTTAAGAAACACTGCTCTAACCCAACGTTTAGCTAATTGAAAGAAAAGATCAAGTAGCAAATTAACTCCTCTTCCTCTCTTTTGGATACATGCCAGCTCCAGGGAACAAGTTGCAAGGAATCTGAACTCTGACAAAGCAGTCAATTCAAGGGAGCATAGAACCAATAATACCACAACTTTTTTCTTTAAAAAATAAAAAAATAGAAAACAAAAACAAAACATATTTCTTATGACTATGTAATTTATTAGAATCTACACTTCTCAGAGCAGCATTGACTTTTGAAACTATGAAATGTCACTGACATCTGTACTTGAATACTCACATAAAATTTAAAAACTAAAAAGGAAAAAAAAAAGTGAAAAGAAAGAATTGCTTAGGCCTAGCTCCTGAGCTAGGGTGATTTGGTCTGTGGTAACAGGGAGGGCCAGCAACCTGTCCCGTTAGAAAAGGAAATAAGCCTTGAGGTAGATAACTGATCATACACAGTTGACCAGACAAGTACACAGTTTTGGAAGACAACTTAATTTACACATGCGATCATAATAAAAACGAGCTTTTAAGAGCAGTGAGTTTTATCTAATACGTTAAAAAGTACAAATAACAGTGTATTTGTGAAATCAGGAATTTCATAGTTTCAAAATTGTTTTTTTTTTCTTCTTTTCTTTACACTGAACACTTGTAGTGATGATGTAAAGCGTGGCACTGCTTGGATCCAAGTCTTCCTTCATGCTTTTTGTTTGTTTGTTTGTGTCCATACATCAATTAAAAATTATAAAACCTAAATGCAAATGTACAAAAAAAGGCACATTCTTCTAACCGCAAACTGGTCCGGCAAAAAGAAAAAAAAAAATAAAAAAAAAATAAAAGAGTACAGAAGACGTAACTGCTGAGACAATTCAGAATTATTGGTTACTGGCTCTTTGTTCTTTGGTAAAGTTACCTTTAAAAAGTGCCAAGTCTTTATTTACCTAATATAGAGAGCGAGTACCCAATCTCATACGTTTTCTACTTAAATCTCAGCTTATATTTCGAAAAAAGTCTTTTAGCTTTTGCCTTTGCTGTAAAAGCAAATGCTTCTATTTGCTAGGTCTCAGTACAGCATTGTTCTTAAGCATTATCATGACTAGAAAGGACAGAAACATTCGGCAGATTCCCCACCCCGAAACTCCCCCAACCCACCCTACAACTAAAACATAATTAGCTTCTGGAAAAAAAGGCAAAAAGATTTTTTTTTTTACATTGCATCATACAGCAGAGTTCCTAACTAGCAGAGGAAAACTAATTGGCATAAGGCCTTACAAACAATTTATTCTATTAAAATTTCCCCAGTCAGAAAAATGTGTTTCACACAAAACATTTC